CCGCTCCTCTTTGGCTGCCTTCCGAATCGTAGATCGGCTTGGCCAAGCCAAGGCTTCGGTTTTGTCTCAGACATGACGCTGCCAAAAAGCTACCAAGCTCCAGGTTGGCGATCTCCAGTCTTCGTCGGCTTCAGGTGGCCAGATGCATCCTAGTGCTGACTTTCAGGTGGTGAAGACAGACTTCTCTCCGGTCACTTTGAGAATTCCTGATGCAGTGAATGGATCCTCCTGGTCAAAGCTCCGCAGGTTCAGCCCAGCGCCTCAGTGTCATTGGCGAGGAGGCCAATGGGGAGCGCTTGCAGCATGCAGGATCTGTGAGAGTCAAGCCTGGGCTACCGAGTTTCTCTGTGGTTAGGACCCTGCCGGGCCAGCTGCAGGAAGCCACGAGCAGTCGACGCCTGGCTGAGGATTTATAGTATTCGTTGCTGACTGCTAACTGCGATATGTGGCTGCTATTGTGCATATGCTGTACATGATACTACCATGCCAAACTTTCTTAGCAATCCTTGCACTGAGTTGGATATGTTGGATAAGACTTGAGTCCAGCAAGGACTTAGAGCTTGCTCCAGAACTCGCACAAGACTCCTCACCAACGCTCTCTGCTGGCTTCGGGAACGGTTGCTGTAGCCGAGGCACCAGTCTGCACCAAGTGACGCCCTGCCCGACACGCTACCCGGCCAACTGGATCAGTTGGGGCCTCAGCTTAAGTTGATGGGGCCTGGGTCATTTCAACATAAATCGCATGTTGAATCTGAGCAGGATTCGGGCGGACGAGGCGCCCGTGCCCAAGGCGCCCATGCAGGCGTGGCGCTACTGATGCGCTTTTTGGCCTACGGAAGAAAGCAGGCAAACTTTCAGAGACGAAGTTCTGAATTTTGGAGCCCAAGCTCCCGACAATACAAATGGTCTGGTTGACGTACGCCCCTTGAGTTGCCCTGATTGCTCTGCAAAGTTGACCGGCCTTTTCCTGCCAGGCTGCTCACAACTCCGTTGAAACCCCTACCAGGACCTCTGGATCAGGAGGCGGAGGCGCGCCATCCTGTAAGGCTGTGAAAGAAGCAGGTGTGCTGAAAGTGACTAATTAGGAAAAGGTGGGCAAGGTGCTTCCAATGAGCCACAAAGCCCTTAGGGGTTGTCAGGGATGCAGTTTACATGACTGTCTTGGCCGAAGTGAGCCCATGCTGCTCGCGATACTTCTGCACGATGCATCCTCAGGTTCCGCAGATGTGGCCGCTTCGAGGCAGCACTGCTTCTGCATCTGGCTACTGTACAAGACGCAAACTCCAACTGCTACTGCGGACACTTAGAGCAGTGCGGCCGCTTTGCACCTGCTGCGCGCCATTTGACCTTTGCATCTTGAACCAGAATTAAGTGCCAGTGGTGTCTGGTGCCTTTGCAAAACTACCCCCGTTTGAGCACGCCCAGAAAGTCCCGTATTCCCCAAGGCAGTTGGCCAATCTCAGCTTGTTTGCCCGTTGAGCCTTGGCGCTTCACACCTGCAGATGCCGCGGTGTCCTAGAATGGACCGTTCGTCCCGCTCCCAAGTAGCTGATTTCATCTGCCTGCTGGTCTTTGGGCCGCACGCCGTGCATGCTTTTGTTGGAAACCTCCAGGTCCCGACACTTCTTCCGCAGCAAGAGGACCCTCACCCTCTCCTCGCTGGGCTGGCCACGGTCTCAAGGTACGAAAAACAGGACGAAAGCCAAAGTTGTGTTTTCTTTTGCCATCGTCACAAAGGCCCAAGCCTTTTCCAAGTGGCGCAGCTGTCCACTGGCCGCAAGGTCTCGCATTTACGGAACCCGGGGGACAAAAATCCCCTGCCTCAAATCTGCCAGGTCTTTCGTTTGTCACAATCGCTTCGGGCTCGGTCAACGCAAGCACTTGAGAGACCCAAAATCTCGATGGTACTGTACCCTGTAGCCCAACTCAAGCTGAGGCTGACCAGCCCGCCTTTGGAGGCTCAACTTTTCGAGGATCCTGAAACAACAGCTTAGTTACTCATCCAGAATGATTAACAGAGTGCAGCTGTTTCCAGCATTCTGCATCCAGTGCTCTTCGTGCAGAGGGGCTTTCCATCCCATTGCTGGCGATCGCAGCTGTTCGTGAGGACAAGGAGGCAGCAAGCAGAGCTTGGGTTAGAAATTGCAAGGAAGGAAGACTGCAAGCTTGCAGGACCCTCTTGGGCTCGTTTTTGTCGTTCGGTACAAGGCTCGTGCAAGCTGTGCAGCATCGAACAGAGTGGGTGCAACCCTTGAAAATCAAAGAGTAAGCGCCGTGCCCTTCAAGGCGCCGTGTAGACGCTCTTGAAATTACCTTCTCAAATTGGCCCTGTCCCTTTTCAGGCGGTCGGCGAGCGCGTTCAGGTCCACTTTCGAGCCGAGCCTCTCAGACCCGTCATCAAGATGCATCAAGCCTGCATGGATGAGCCGCGTAAACATAGATTATCTCTTGTCGTAGTCTAAAGCTTGCAGCAGCTAAGTGCTGGCAGTCCTTCCTTTGCTCTCGGAGGCTGCAACCAAAGAAAGCCGCTCCTTATGGGTTTCGTCGCTTTGCCAGGCTCTGCTTAGTGGGAGTAGATTAAGCGCGTAGAACTAGAACCGGAACTAAGAGGTATGCTGCGTAATCAACGGCAGCACAGATGAATTCGCTGGAACGTGACAGGCGGTTCACGAAGCGCGAGCGTGCGCAAAGCCATCCAAAGCGGTGGAGGCAAAGGCAAGCCTGAAGCAGAGATTGTGGCTGGAAAAGCTTGCAAGCACAGATGTTTGGCACACGTGAACTTCACTGTCCACAACCAAGTGTATGTGGAGAGCGGGGCGTCCCTGACTGCCCTTGTGAGGTCAGCGAGGAATCGCAGAGCGCTTTATCTGTTTAGTGGCACCAGTGAACCCGGATTCCACCAGTGCCTGTGTAAATGTACTGGCCGCGTCATGACCGCCCTTACCTGGTCCACAGATACTCACAACCCAAGTTGGTATGCAGCACCAAAGTGTGATGCGGCCGCTTAGGCAGTAAATGTATGCAGCTTGGGTGTGATGATGCTTGATTCGTCAAGGATAGAAAGATTTCGACTTTGAGAGGTGAATTGCCTGGACTCACCGACGAATGCTGCTGGATCTTCACACCCATCGTGTTCTGCCCTCGCATGCTCAGTGGCAAAATGCCTCGTGAGTGTGTTGTTGTCAATGACTCAAAAAGGTCAGCTTGGCCAGTTCAAGAAATATGCTGCCGTGTGTGCCAGCTTTGTGCAAGCTGCAGTGGCCTGATGCGCAAAGTGCAGATGCCGCAATTCTCAAGACTCTCCACTGCAACCCTGAATCACCCAGGACACCTCAAGCTAATTTGCCTTGTCCACTAAAGTTCGCCCAGCCCTTTCCATAGCCCAACACTTCTCCTCAAGAAGAAGTGCATGGGACAAGCCACAGTGTGATCGAAGTGTGAGCTTGATTTGCAGTACAGGGGGAATGGACCATTTCAAAGTTCTTCGGATTGCGGAGCCCCCTTATGCGGACTGTATAACGCCTGTATGTTGCACGATATTGCGCGCACGGTTGGAAAAGCTGCGCCGAAAACTAGGCGATGGAATCTCCTCTGCGCATTGGGCTGCGTTTGCATTGTCCGGTGGGTTCCGTGGAGCTTTGCCCTGCCGGCTAAAGCAGGTCAAGAGATGGAGGCCTTCCAGGCGTTGATGCGTGCGGCGGGTCAGTTGGAGCTTTGCCTTGAAGAGGTTTATCTAAACACTTCGCTCTACAAGGAGTTCGACTACGATACTGTTGGTTTCAGCCAAGGGCTCGTACAAATGTCCGCCGCATGGTCAACTGCTGTGAAAGGCCGACAGCTACGAGAGTTGTGCATAATGGTGGAACCTGAGTGGATCAAGGCCGCATGCGGTACTCTTATAATCAGGCTGAGGATTGGGTTTCAGACTGGCAGCCCCTTCGAGTTGGAGTTGACTTTCTTCGGTGGGAGCTCCTATGACAAAAGCTTTCCTGGAGAGTCCTCCTTTTGGGATCTCGCGGAAGAGCAGCTGAATCTGGGGCCAGAAGGTTGGAGCCAGACAGCAGCGATGCTTCCCTTCGAGCAGGAGGATTTGGATCCTGATGAGGATGAGCAGGATGGGGCGTTCCCTCCCTACCCAGACATTTATCCCGCTGTTGTGGCGAGATTTGTCGCTGAACACCTGGCTGTGACCAAGCTTCACGGCCTGCGATACGCTGGAAGATGCAAGGATTCTGATGGATTGAGCTGCTGCGAGTCCGGTGACTTCAGGTTTAGTGCTCCTTAGCACGCAGGGCTTCTGGTCTTCATGATGCACGAGTGCTCATTGCTTACAGGGCAAGATGCAAGCAGAATGGACCTGCAAACAAGACCCACGTGCCTGATCCCTTAACCAGATTTATGCCCCTGAGCCACAGGCGTGACCCAACCGGGAGCACAGCGCATCACTGCACAAACACTATCCGTATCTGCCCATCATGCGAGTTTGATTATTGAGAGCTTCCACCTCGCATTCTTAGGCTAAGCAGAAACCAGACGGTAAGCCCCGCAGTGCTGGCTCATGCTGGCTCGCTTCCCGTTTTTGCCTGGCCGTTCCCTTGAGAACCTCAAAGCCATGCGCTCTTTCATCGTGCTTCTTCTTGCCGGACTGACCCAGGCGTTGGAAGTCCGAATCAAGAAATCCTACCCTCATTGTCACATCATGTGATCAGCTTGTGCCAGACATCGGTGTTTCAGGCACTTGCAGCGAGCAATTGCACGGCAAGAGGCCTTGGGCTTTAGAAAGTTGTTGCCGCTTCGATCATCTGGTTTCTGCGGTCCTCGGGAGCATGAAAGAGTCTGTTGTCTTGCAGGTCAAGATCGTTCTTGGCTTTTGCTACAGCAAAGAGCCAGGACTCAAGTGCGCAGCTTGTGTTCTTAAACCGCTATGCCCTGGGAAGAACATGTGCCCAACATGACTTCCATGTGGTACAGGTGCAGTTAACTAGCCTGTGAGGTCCAAGATGTTGCAAAGGCCTTGCGACTCCAGGACGAAGAAGCAGCCTGCGCTGGAGATTGGAGAGGAGAACTGGTACTACAAGGCTTTTTGGTAGAACATTTTAGCGGTAACTTGCTCGGAGACGCGGCCTGGCTCCCAAGTTTCCGAGGGAGGGCCTATGTAGGGACAGCTCAAGCATTGCTTCATTGGGCAGGCGGAGGACTATGGCGAGGGCAAAGTCGGGGCTTGGGGAGGTGCGCGTCGCTGTGCTTTTTTTTTTTTTAGCATAACTCGAACGCCACACACTCCTGGCCAGGCCCTTGCACGTGTCCGAACGGCGAGATCTACCAGGCTAAAAGTGTCTTTGATGAGTCTTGATGCAGCCTTTTTTTCTTGAAGGTTGGCGACAACTGGAATGGCTGCGAAAGCCTGGCATGCTGCTTGGATTACACTTGAGCCAGTCTGAAGAAGGCCATGTAAAGCTCTACACGTACAGCGCCAGAAATAGCTCAAAATCAAGCAAGTGAATTTTGCGAATGCATCAGAAGCTTACTTGCCGTCTCTGCCACAGGTGTGGGAGGTGTGTCAGGGGACTGTGAAAAGGTTGACCGTGATGAGCGCAGGCCTGACTCGGATCAATGGCCTTGACTTGTTACTGTTGATACTAAAAATCCTGCATGACCTTAGTATACCATAGTACCACTATTCCCAAGGTATAAGGTACTTAGGGTCATGTAGGATTTCTATTATTCTCCGTAGGATAAAATTCAAAGAGCTCCGCTGTGCTGGCTGGACTGCATCCGGTGTCATGACAGGTCCAGGATTGATGTTTTGAGACCCTGACAGGGGCATGAAGGTTCGATGCGACACGCCGCCCCCACCGCCACCTACGACACCTCCCCCGGGGCAACACAGTCGAGAGGCCGGATCCTTCAAGGTTGCATTGCCTGTGCATTCTAGATGTCCGTTGCGTGGTGAGTTGCTTGCGGTGGCCTTGCAGCCGCGCTGTTTCAGGCGACACGATTCTTATCATGGAATGTCTATTACGCCTCTTAGCACAGACTGGGCTTGGAAGACTGATGACCAAGTAAGAATTCAGGAGATCGACGGAATCTGAGAAGTAAGGCAAACGACCTGGTCGGTCGCGCAGGTCAGATTGCGGACGCCATCCTCGAGGTGGATCCGGAAATTGTGTCCCTGCAGGACTTGAGTCAAGCCGCGTTGGATGCATAGTGGTGTTTAGGAGTATTAGCTGCAAGAATCAGTGTATGAGGAGCTCTGGAATGAGTGGGATGAGATCCTGGCAGAGCTGAACCGGAAGTCCTCTGCAGAAATTTGGGAGTTCGCAAGGGGAGGCGGCAGCGTAAAGGGACGACTGTGTGCTGTGATATTTCTGCCTTGACAGGAGACACAGCCCCTCAGCTGCAACATTTGTCACATAAGCTCAGATCAACAGCAATGACGACAGTCAGCAAGGTTTCATGCATGCATGCCCGACTACAGCTCAGCTCAAGTATGTACATGAGGAATCCAAGTGGGACGGAGACTTCGTTTTCCGGTCATGTGGCCGCAAGTCTTCACCATCTCCTGGCGCAAGATTTGAAGGGCTTTCTTTGTTTCATCCAAGCCACGACCTATTGTGAATCTCGCAGCCTTTGCAGACCGTCCGCAGCCGACTCAGGCGAGACTTGTGGACTCTGGAAGACAGCGGTATGCATCCTTTTGAGGATTGCAAGTCAGACAGTCAAAGAGCTAGAATCTGGCTAGGCGCCGGCCATGAGAAGGAAATCCGCATTTCAACGGACACTCGCACGGCAAGCCAACACAAGTTCGTCGCCAGGATCGGGGAATCAGCTGGGCAGTACTCCATCGACGCAGCGACTACACCGGTGCTCCTGTCTCAGACTCGTACAAACAGGGAACAAACGCATTACCTGATACAATGAGCAAGTACCTTTCAACCAAGGTTGTTGTGCTTGGCACGCACCCGTGGTGCTGCACCAATGATGAGCCCATCCTTCGAACAGTTCAGAACGACATCCTGGAGGCTGTCACTGATGTAAGGTCCTCTTCTGATACCTGTGCTGCCGGTAAGTCTACAGTAAGAGCTTGCCACTGGGAAAGTTGCCTATTCCGAGCGTGGCTTTGGTTGGCAGACAGTTGCGAGGTGATCAAGGAGCAGCGGGCGAAACATCCGCAGTACCCTGTGGCCTTGCTGGGCGACATGACCCTCAGATGACAGATGTGTTAGAGATTCGTTGAACGTGCAGGCAGGTTTTGACTCCGCGTTGCCCGGGTCAAGAGATGACCGGGAAAAGGATATCCACAGCAACCTCCGAGCAATTCCGTGCCAAGGAATGCGGGCTTCTGGGCAGGATCACAGTATCTGCTGCGCGATGGCACACGCACGGCTCACAACCGCGACTGGAGTATCCTGCCGCATCTTGTTGGCAGTGAGCATCAGGCAGAATCACAGAAATTCTGTTGACAGAGAAAACCTTGCACCACTTTAATGCTCCGCTAAAACTCAATACCCCGCACCCAATTTTTCACATTGGCAGTGGCAGTGCGAACGGAACCTTGGAGCAAATGACCTAATCTTGCACCACCTCAATTTTGTTGTAGCCCCAATGTTAAACAGGGGGTGCAGGGTTTGTATGCCTCATAGTTTTATTTGTGAGCATAGGGGTGGTGCAAGTTTTCCTCCATCCACCGTAATGCATCACCTGAGCTGGCAGCTGCTTTTATTCTTGTCGATTCTTGTCAGACGTGAAGTCGTGTCTCGGACGGGTAGAGTGTTGTCCAGGTATACTTTCAAGGACTCCTACAACATTAATGGCCAAAACCCAGATGCATCCACTGGATTCGGCCCGAAGATTGACTTTGTGCCATGGCTCCAGGGGCAACAGGGATTTGCAATCTTTTCTATCGGTTGCCTAAGGTGGATCTGAAGAAGTCAGAAGTTGCAGTTCTTCCTGTACGATGCTCTTGTCTCCAGGTCTACTTCGAAAAGACGCCGCTTCCGATGGGCCAGGTGGTTGAATCGAAGATTTGGCGAGGTGGACTTTGCATGACGGTGCACGCATGCCAATCAGTAGAAGTCCTCCTGTTCTTGGGGGCTGCAGGGTGAAGCAACATGTCCGTGACCAACTGCAGCGCACTTGTTGCCAGATTGTGACAAAGCGGGGAGCGACCACTGCGCAGTTTCTGGGGACATTGTCCTGACTCCCCGAGGACCTGAACCGCGTTGCGAAGTGCTTTGGGAATTGAATGTGTAGCTTGCGGCTTGAAAACAACATCGGTGTATGTGAAACCGTGCAGCGACGTTCAGCAGGAACCACACCAACGCCTTCCACCAGTGTCAGTGCAAGTCCCATGCCCCCAACTACTTCCACGAGTGTCACCACCACCTCTTTGTTTGAGCTGTCCTGTGCGGACTTCGGGAACTGGCCCGATGTCGACAAGGGTGTCACTTGTGGATGCTTGGCGGAATGTGGCCCTATCACGTCTCCAGCACATGATCTCAAGTCCTTGCAACGTCAAGTCCTGCGTTGTTGCAAGTAATCCGCGGTTGCAGCGAGGTAATTGCACGGCCCTTGTGCTCACCGCTCCACACGGCGGCCGTTGCCGGACGTTCTGCAGCTCTTTTGGCCACATTTGCGTGGCAGCCGCCGAGGAGGAGAATGAGAATTGCGAGGCATCCCAATGGCTCCCCATAAGACCTTTGCAGCTCAGCAGCTCAGCAGCTCAGACCAGAACGCCAGCAGGTGAAGACGAGAAAAAGCTGCGACGACGACATTTCTGGCACCTCAGACATGCTGTGCACCTGCGCCTTGCCTACCTCGCCAGGCCCACTGAAAGTTACGGTAACAGCCCTACATACACGCAGCAAGAGACTCAAGTAGCCTCTGCCCCAGCCAAGTGCACCACCTGCCTTTAAAACGGTTGTGCCTTGCGGGATCTTGCCAGTTTGGCCTTTACCTTTCCCCTCAGCTTGGCGCCCTCTCGGTGGTGAATCTGGTCATGCTTGCAGAGGCGCAGATTCCAAGGACTCCTGACTGAACGCAGCAGACAGTTTCCTCGAAATTCCGTGGCAGACAGTTGCATAAGTTTGCAGCCCTCCTTTGATTTTATTGCTGTTAGGGCATCATGCTTCCAGGACAACTCTGCGAAATATTACAAGATTGTCAGCGCTGACACTCTGCAGGAGCGGGTTTCGGCAATGCCCAAGCACAGCGCGACAGAGCGCATAAGCCTACACACAAGCAGCTGAATGCTCGAGCCCCGCGTCACGAAAGCTAGTCTCTGGGGCTATCTGCTGTGGGGGCGCGAGGGGTGGCAATTTTGCTTGGGGCTCCGGGGAGGGGGGGGCCTTTTCGGTGTTCATGAGGATGTCGTAGGGCCTTGGTTCTTGAGCAAAAGAACACATAACGAATACATGAGGCTGAGCCACAAGGACTTCTTGCCCCTTGCTGAGAAGCAACTGTAGTGTAGCCAGGTGTTTTGCAGATCTCTTGCTTGACCCAGCGTAATTAAATAACACAGCTTTGGAAGTACTTTGATGAGGTATTGATGAGAGAGCAAGAGACGGGCTTCTGCTGACGGGCCGAACATCCGGAATGAGTACAGCATCTAACAAACACCAAGGGAAAGTTTAGCGAACTCGGAAGTAATCTTCCCTCGCAGGTTCTTTACTGTACTGCTCCGTGAGAAAAGGCAGCACCCTTAACCCTAATCCTTAAACCGTCTGGATCTGCCTGAAGATGAGCTTCTCGTGGCTCTTCCACACTTCCAATGCAGGGTGAGAAAATCCCACAAGTGCTTCTCAGTGCACGCGCGCATGTCTACAAGCCCTCTCTAGCACCTGACTCAGCTTTCGTTCTAGCTCCTCGCCCCCAAGTGCAAGTCCTCAAAAGAAGCACAGAGGCGTTGGAGATTGAAGGACTGCCAAAGTTTGTGCCTCTTCACGGCCGGCTGCAAGGGCGTGGAGTACTCGGCAGGTGGCAAGCGGTGCGAGGTCTGGACGAGGTGCATCTGGTTGTCCTGAGTTGTGAAAGCCTCCTTGGGTGGAACTGCCTGTGTGCAGGCCAGAGGGCATCGGCGCAACTGCTCCGGTAAACGGCTTCGTTTGCCTTGAGAAGGCACTGTCACAGCATTGTGTGAGATGAGTATTGTTGAAGTCCGGGAGAGGCAAGTTCAACTCCCCCAAAGCCACTGCCACTGAGCTTCGAGACCCTTGGACAGATCAGCAACACTTCAACCGGTTTCAACTGTTCTTAGAGGTCCTGGCTCTTTGCTGAAGTCTGCTTTGCTGCTTGAGGCCAGTGGATGGCGGACAGGGCCGTGCCTGCCGCGGGCCAGGTGGCAAGAACGACCCAAACTTCTATCGCCACTCAGCAGGCAGTTTGCGCTTGGGACGGCTTTCCACAGGCCCATTGCTTCAGCAGTAGCTTGTTGCAAGACCTTCCCAAGGTGCCCGCAAAGCATCAACTCTTGAGCTTTGCCAAGGCAGGCGGAGATGAACGTCGCGAGTAGGCAAGTCATGCGGGTATCCCACCCAAGCAATGCGGACAGGCCTCTGCGCACTCAGTGAGGATTGCACTGGCGTGGAGTGGCCAGGGCCTCGTCTGCAGCTGCCAAATTCGAAGTTCCAAGCTGAACTTAACAGATGTGCCTTGAATTGCTTGGTTTCGCCAGATGCAATCAAACTCTGCTTGTTTGATATTCCGATTTCTCAGCAATGTCATATGGTGCAAGATTTCGCTGCAGACAGATTTGGGGGATGACGCAGCAATCACCGTGCCTTTATTGGCAACTCCAATCTAATGTCTGTTGGTGCTTCATGACCAGGAGCCTGAATCGCTGCGAGATTTGGCGGTCGCCGCAGCTGGGCTGCAATGGCCAAATTGCCATGTTCTCTCATTACTGCCAGGCCGAATCACAGGTTCGTCATGCGCCAATGACATCCTTTGACTCCTTTGACTCCGTGCACCGCACGTACTATCCAAGGATTGAGGGGACGGCGTCAGTCAGCGGCTTTGATTGCCACCGCGCCACCGGTCGGGTTATGACATCATAAAGGCCAGAATGTTTAGGGAATTCGAGATACCGATGACGCATGACCTTAGCAAATTGCCCTGGATTCGATTTCGAGCTTCTGTTCCTGCTCAGCGTAGGATTTAAAACTTGGAAGGGTGTCCGTGCTTCAGACCTGCAGCGTCCTGGTGGAGGCTAGCCACAAGCTGAAACTTCGTGGTATAGGTGTTGTGTAGGAAGGATTGAGGAGAGCTAGCATTTGAGTACAATAGCTTACGCGCAAGCTGACGAGCGATGAGTCGATTAACATCGATTAGCACCAGTGCTGAGACTCCTCATTCCACTGTAAATCAGATGCATGCTGTGTACAGCTACAGAAGCCGCCTTCCTTTTGCCGTTGCTGTCTGGTAAGTGGCCGTGCCAGTGCCAAAAATCTGGAGCGGTTCGCTGCTGGCAGAGACGCTTCCGTGGGCCAAGAATTTCTTTGCATCACGTGTACAGAGATATTGCGCCTTGTGCGTGAGCACGGCTTGCATCTTATGGCATCATCTGTCAGATGCGTTGGCCTCAAAGGGCAGCCTTTGCAGGCCTTGCCTGGCAAAGTTGGCAGATGCCACAGCATGACGGAAGGCAGAAGCCTCGGATGTGGTCGAAAGGACCGCTCTTGAAACCGTGGCAAAACACTAGGAATCGCATCAAAATGGCAGAGAAGGAAATCCGAGGTGATAGTTTCTCCTTGGCATTTGTGCTGCTTCCAGCCTGCATGAAGGCACTCAGCTTGCCCGCTGACGGCCTTTGGCTCTTCTTTCAGCTGCTGAAGAGGTGCATTTCGGCCCCGTCGCCGGTTCTGAGCAAACTCCAGGCTGCCTGCCCAGGCTGACGCGAAGCCCAACACACAGTCAGTGCAGCCATTCAAACAGTCACATCCTGGACAGGCTCCATGGCCTCCCCACAGAAGGTCCGGCCATCCTCGGCAGGCATCAAGCAAGAGCATGGAAGCCAAGCATAATGTCCCAACACGGTCGCTTTCACTGCGACAGCTTATGGCCAGACACTCTGCTGCTCACATGGATCTGTAGTTTTTTTCCTGCCTGCGAGACTTTGTCGATGTGTCCATGGACGAAATCGGCGACGCACCAACCAGGACTGGACACTGGTTGCCCATGGTGTCTTTGTTTTGCCTTCAAGGTGAAGTGTAGCTGGGACCAGCAGCCATAGTCTCATAGTAAGTTGACGGACCCCAAACATGTGTTGGACGCAGCCACCAAGTGCGAACGCTCGCGGCGTTAAATTCAGAATTCAAAGCATTTTCTGTTCCAGAGCCTGCCAGGCCTCCAACTCCAAATGAAGAAGCCACGACGGTAGGTGACTTTGCCTGTCAAATTGGATGCTTGGCGAACAGCTTTCAGTGCGCACGGCCTTGTTGCGTGTGGATTTGTGTATGTGCAGACAGATGTGTATATATATATATTTAAGGGCTGCC